AGTAGTGTTTGTGCTGCGTTTCATTTGAAAAAGTGTAACAAGTTGTGCTTAGGCATAACAACTAGATACCCCCAAAAATTTTTTGAAAAATACGAAAAATCCTTAAGAGTCTTTCAATTTCTTTCAAAAACAAAAAAATCACCAAACATTTCTAAACTTTTTTCATAAAAAAATTAAACACCAGGAGCCCCAAAGAATTTTTTTTTGTACAAATTCGATGAGACATTTCATTAAAATGCAGACAAATCAGTGTGTAGCTTTTAGTGGAAACACCATACCTATACATATAGCAGAAAATATTTCAGTACATCGAAATATTTACCATCATCAAACGACAACGCAATGTATGCATAAAAAGAAAGCAATTTTTGAATTCTGTAAACATCATTGTTTTTCCATGTCGAGAAGATTTTGCAGTTTTAGAATTTTGTTAAAGCCATTGTGTTTAGTTCAAATCCCTGCTACTCACGCACGTCAGCTTTTGTGGCTGTCGTTTTCGTGGCCTAAAATTTACTGTTGTTTTTAAAGTAAACTCCAATTCAACTCAGACTTTTATTTAGATTCATGAAAAATGTATAAAAAGAAGAAATATTTTCGTAACGTAAAAAGGAAGTGTTGAAATGCACCATTTTTCAACAAATGTAATAATAAAAAATATTTCACGAACTAGGGTTTCCCCTATAAGCGTTTACAAAACTTCAACAAAGCACTAGTTTAAAGACAAAACATGCTACATATAAAACAGAAACAAATCAACATATGCCAAATACGTAAATATTGAAACTTCAAACTGTGTGATAATTTGGCATTCGCTTGGTGACGCGATAAATAACGAAGTGTTTGGGGTATAAGCGCATAATCTCTTTCCAAGTGCGAATCCCTCGCTTGTGTATCATTTCGATAAAATTTTAATTAAATCCATCCCAGCTTTGTCAGCAATAATCAGCGGTTTGTTTCCTTGTTGTGTTTGTCAAGAGGCCCGGAAACAAATTTACTTTCCATTAAAGTTTCCAACGAACACAAATAAATATTTACATGTTTTCCATGAAGCACTGGCTCATGTCGCATTTGTAATTATTTACTCTCGGTTGACAATAATTTCGGGTCAATGTCGTGATCTGTCGTCGAGCATTCCTTATCTGGACGACGAAAGCGGATAAATCCAATTTTGTCGTCAAGCTTTCGAAAAGAAGCTCAAGTTGATACAAACAAACGCACAAAGAGAAAGATTTAAACAGAGCTTCTAATAAAATTATCTTTCGTTAAGCGTAATTTGGGGAGGAAATAATAATAAAGCAGTTCGAGGCAAAATCGGAAAGCTGCCTAAGCCAATTACGTATTCGGGCTTATTAGAACATTTTTCTTTCGTCCACAGGGAAAATCGGGGAAATTTATAAATATTGGAACGCTAGGAATGTGAGAGGCTGTGAGCCGTGTGTTCAGAATTAAATTGACATTAATATTCCTCGAGCAACATTAGTGTTCATTATTGTTAGCCGTGTTCGCCGTTATTACACATTTAATAACTACAACGTTATTTATTGTAGCAAATTTTAATTATATTTTATAACACGGATACTGATATCGTAGCAATAGCACTGTTAACTGAACTTTAATGCTATTCTAAAAACAGGTTTTTATTTAATTATGTCCATAAACATGTTCATAAATATTTTGTTTAAATTAATTTGTTGTGTAAGTGATTATAATGTACTTTACCTTTTCCGTGCTGTTTATGTAGTAACTGAATACTGACGGACGTGATTATTATTAGTGTTATATATTGTAATAATTAATCGACGTGTAGAAGACCGGTTCCAGAAACCTTAAATTATCAACTGACAATCGATACGAAATTATATACATATTAATATGCTAAACTTGTAGTTAATATGTATAAATGTATACATAAACGGTCTCCTCTATAATTTTGAAATCAATATTAACTCCAAAAATATTGCACATTTGCATTTTGTTTGAAAGCCAAAGCTTTTTTTTTCTTATTTTATTATTTTCATTTTTTCTGTTTTGTAAGTTCAGTTACATTATATCCTAGGTGTATACATTAAATATAATTAGGACTAATAGGAGTAAGATTTTGCGCTAAAACGCAAACGTAAATCAACCACAAATCGTGGCATGTGATCTCATCGGAGTGGAGGACATTTGATGCGTCAAAAAACGACCTTTCTGGAAATTTTACGGCTACAAACGCAGTTGAATACATAATCAGCGTTGTTAACCGTTTTGCAGCAAGTTTTCTAACGCAGCCTAAGCGAGCAAGGCGTCCTGAGTAATCTAACGAAAGTCACTAGATGCTAAATGCGTGGTATGTCTCTCGTTTATGGGTTTGCGAGTAGGTAGTGTTACAGTTTTAAATTTTAGCTACTTTTAAGTTCCTTTCGGAAATGCGAGAAATTTGCTTAATCAATCATTAACTGTTTTAATAGCACAGTGATCGAGAGGACTACGACATTTTAATTTATTTGTGAAACTACAAAACACCGAATGCTCTGATATCTTGTAAACGTTTTAAGGTTATCGTAAGCAAGTTAAATCATTAATCAAAAATTATTGTGCGTTTATCATACCCCCCCAATTGATGATGTCATCTGAAAGTTTGATCATAAATTCCATCTAAAATATGCAAAATAATATAGTAGATACTTGGGGGTTTTCAATGCATTTATACAGTACTGTTATCATTATTATTATACTTCACCTATTCAGGCTGATATAGGTGCCCGTGCTAAAATATTGATGACATCGTCACATAATTTTGGAATGGAAAAACTCACTTAAAACACACACATAGCATGGTTCTTTACCTTTACTTTGACACTACACAACACAGATACCTTTATTTTAATTTATCGGAGTCATCATTAAGAAAATAAAATTTGCTAAATCAGATTTTATAATTTTTCCAAAAAAAACTACATATTTTCTCCTACATGTGAATCAGGGATTGTCTAAATCGCCTTACGCTAATTTTTTGTCTACGTAAAAAAGCTATAGGAAAACTAGATATTTTTTTGTATTTATCTCAATTTTGAAAGTTGTATAATTCTTTTTATAAGAATCTTAAACTTGGTTTCGTTCACAAGTCAGCTTGATTACTGTTATCAGTCAAGGTGCATTAAGTTTGTTGATCCTCTGCACGAACAAGAGCATAAAAAATAAATAAACGTAGCAAGTTGTTCATCAAATACTTAATGTTTTCTTTGGTAGAATTAATATAATAGTATTTTATATTGTAATTTAAGCGAGAGAAATGCTATATTATAAGTTATAAGTGAGTGAGAGTGTAGGGTCACGAGCGCGTTGGCGTAAGTGATACTGCTCTCACGAGCTTATATTGGAATTTCGTTCACGTGTAATAGACGGCGTTCTATCTTACAGTAGGGAATTAGTTTTTATAGTATAGGAAATATGTATTAATAAAAAAATTCGTAGAAATAAAATTATAAACTAATTTTGTTAAGTTTGTCAATAGTTAGAAATTTCGAGGAATTCACAAACGTCTTGGAATTTTTAAAAGGAGAAATGTAGTTAACATTCAAATCGTCCCTCTACACCACAGGTGAAGGCCTACATCACTGATGAAGTGAGAGGAGTCCTAGTTAGGGATAAATAAGCGTCTACTTGTAATTTAGCTTTGTCTGGATAATGCCAATGTGGTTGGCGAAACGCGTCGACAAATAATTTGTGTGTTTTTGAACGTTATATTATTAAAATGTTGTCTTAAAATTTTGTTTGTTCCTCTTTGATTTTCTATCCGGTTAACATAAGCATATATATCTTTAAGCTTTCTCCTTTGACTGAAAACCGAAACTTTGTATACGTGGGAGGCAAATGAATTGAGCAGGTCTTAAATCTTGTTTTCGAACAAACAGTTTTAATATTATTCCTATACTAAGCCGATAGATAATTCGACTTTCAGAATATTTTTTCAGCACGTCGCATCGTAATCAGCGTTGTTATTTCAGATTTCTGGAAATTTTTTACCAATGAAGTGGTTCACAAAAAAATTGTAATAGGGTTATTTTTTAAATCTGTGATAAGACATTTTGTGAAAAGATAAATAAAGGTTAAAGGTACGCGTTTTGTTGTGGAATAAATAAAACTTAAAAAGTCTTATTATGCACTCTTTATAAAAAAAAATAATTATTACAATTTCCAAATTTCGATATTCCAGGTTTTCAAATACTTAGAACATCTTGTATTTTACTATCGCATCTTATTTCGTTTTTGTTTTCTTTCTTTTTTGTCAAGTTTTTTCTATATTTAAAGTTAATAAGGAAGTATTGTAATCGAGTCCATCGGACGAATGGCCACTTTTATGTTTTCTCGACGTTTCATGACCCCTACAATGCGAAAAAACTAGTCTCCCGTTTCTGTCTGTCTGGTGTCTGGTATCCATTTTTGTTTTAGTTATTCAAGAGACACACTAACATGTTGAAAGAAAGGGAACAGAAAAAAAAACAAAGTTATGTGCTATACCCCAGAAACAAAATAGTCTGTGTAGTCGAAAAAAATTTTAATGTATGCTACCCAAAGAACCGTACAACATTGGTCCTTAACTTTTTTTTCGATTTCTAATAATAATTAATAAGATACCGAGAATCCCGTATTTAGAGAGTCACCTTGTATATAACTATTATTACTAACTAAATAGTTAGAGTAGAAATCTAATATTTTTATGATAACGTTTGCAGTCAGCGTTGTTGCTGCAATGGCCTTGCAAAACTGAATACTTTCTGGTATATCACACGCCAGTAATTCCCAATATTAATGAAATGGTATTGGCAACCTGCCACACTCGACGTAAAACATCCAGAAAATGCGCATATGGTGAACAAGCAATTATTTTAAGAATTAAAGTAAATGTTTTCAGGAGTCGTAGCACGATCTAAAAAATATTAATCATCGCAGAAGGTTGCCACAAATTTTTCAAGCTACCGCAACCCATGAATGATAGATTTCTCCTTTTTTTTCAGATAATCTGGACCTATTGGGCCCCAATAAAGCCATCAGAGCCCACTTTCAATAGCCGTCAGTGATATACAGGTGATAAATCTCACCGTTACCCGCATCTGGGTGGATATGGCTATCTGTTACTACACGTAATACTACGTGAATTTTCGTACTTAGGCCTCCATTTATATTCCCCTCTAGACTCTAAGGTTGGCTTAAACTTATCGATTTATATAAAACCGACAAATATTGCGGTTTTCGAGTATAATGAAAATGATATCCTTATAAATTTTGAAGATTTACAGCCTCCATAAAATACCACAATCCCTGTTCTTAGTCTCCGTTTTGAATTCATTGTTTCGAATAGATGTGATTAATATCTAATAATATCGTTCGTTCGTGTTTGCTGCAATATAGATTTCTGGGGTTCCAGGGAGTTAAGGGCTGTACCTGGAATAATTTTCAGGATCGTTCACGGTTTTGTTACAGCTGAATGTATAATACACTTGTACTACCGCTGTTCGCTAATTAAGGTAACAAAATTCGGGATTTAATTAAAACGATTTATTTTAGTATTCTAGTCCGTGACAGACGAAATATTAGTCATTTTCATTATTTACAGAGCAGAACATTGCATCCTATTTTACCTCGACAAGATTTTCCTCTTTTAAACGATCTTGAACAGGTAAAACATCATCATAATAGATTTCTTAAAAATTATTATCTCCTGACAGAGGTGATTTTTTTGGGTGATTATCTCATCATCAGTCAGTCGTTTAAATCGCGGGATGTCTGCACGTGTATTATGTTGTGCCAAAACATTTTTAAAAAGTCAGGGCCAGTTATAACCATTTGTCTATCTCGTGTTGAATCTATTTCGATTTTTCCACAAGAATGAAACTTTTCAATTTATTGCATTAAATTTTATTTTAGGATTGTATGTATTAGTTATCCCATCTAAGACAATGAGTAACTTTTGTTGGTGTACTCTAATGGTGCTGATTTGAACTATTTGGACAATACATCAGTTCCCAAATGTTTTTTATTCTGATAAGATTCTGAATAATAATAATAGATTTTAGAAAATGTATATAACAAGCAGGTCTCAAAATAGAAGAAGCATTTCCTCAGAAGAGCAGAAGGAAACTGTTAGATTTGAAGTACACACCCTAAATCTATCTAATAAATAACGAAGAAATTCACACACGTCGGAAAACATAATTAATGCACTACAAATGAAGCAAATACACGGACAGTACTTCAAAGATCGTGTTAACAAAAAATTGTCATTGATTCCAAAAAATAAAAAAATCGAGTTTCTATGCCGAAAGAGCAAGCTTTTCGTTTGCAATTGAAAATCTACTGACTAAAACAAAGAAGTACAGAATGCAACGCCTCATTTCTTCCAAGCAAGAACTAAATACAAAGCGGGACATGGCAAAACCTACAAGATCATCCACAAAAAATAAAGAATCTATAATAATATGTGTTAAATACCGGTTTTTGTCAACACGTTCATTATGTTGGCGATAAGATTCGTCATTCCTGGAGTCTCCTATTATTCACGTTTCGACAATAAAATTTTAAAAAATATTAAATTTCTTTACATGCAGTTTTTGCTGTAGCTGTGTTGTCTTTAGTAATAAGAAATATAAAGCTAAAATTAAAAATAAAAAATATAGTAAAAAGCCAATACAAGAAAACTGTCACAAAACCAGTATCAATTTCGAACCCAGAACAAATATATCTTAACCTGAGAAAGCTGTTTTTTGGGAAATCTGTAAAACCTTTCTCAGATTACAACACAGATATTTATTTTATTATTAGCCACTTGTTTGACTTTCATTTCGGTAAATAGCTTTTGTAAATAATATGGACGAAATCTATATCCTTACTTGATTCCTAGTAACTGATGTTATTTTGTTTAGTTTAGTCTTCTACCACGCAACGTAAAAATAATAACCCGATATTTTCTCATTCCGTATAATCAGATAAAATGTTGACTCTGCACACATCGTCGCAGGTGGAATTCAATTTAGTACGGCTGATGGATAACGAGCCTTTTCCACACTAAAATGTACAATTGTAAAAGTTAGAAACATTTGTTGCTTTTAATAATTTTCTCGCTTTCCCAAATCCACAACCCACGTTGGTAAAAGTTGAAATCAAACAAAATTGCATGTGTTGGAACAATTCAAAGACTAATTTGAACGTTAACATAAAAGTAATTGCGGGAAAATGTTAATTCGCAGGGGATTTAATAAGTGGGTATTTTACCACGATCAAATTTCACCGCCGAATTCAATCACAAAGCAGTACATAAATCATATGATGAGAACGAGTGAAAATGTGTTCAGTGCCAACGCTGCTTTTAGCGAAGTCCCGATTATGAATTAATTGCTACTTAGTACTGGCTTGTTTTAAGTGATGAAATGATTTAATGTCCTAATTGACCGATTTATCTTAATTATTTCATATATTATTACTGTCTAATAAGTAAGTGACATAATTTCCGTGCACTTAACGATATCTTTTTGAGTTATTGATAATAATTAAATGTTGCGTTTTATTTTTTAACTTGAACTCTGAATTAACATCGTAGTTGGGTTTGTGTTAAAACAATATTACTAAGTAACTACTGTGTATATTTTGATGAGACAGCCTGTATACAACAGTTAAAATATATACACCTGCTACACTAATAATAAAAACACAACAAACATAAAAGCCTGAACATAAAACAAACACTCTTGTCCTGTTCCAAACTTTGCTAATTTGATTAGATCTTTAATGAAGTCACTCAGTCGAGATAAAAGAAAAGTTAATTCACCTCTGAAACGCACTTCCCATGAAATTCAGATAGCGTCTATAAAAATCCTCGTTTATATACCGAAATCCACGTTGTGACGTAAATGGGACTTACGTAATGAACACACTGTTGAGGCAGGTCACCGTTGTAGGTCAATGGCAGAATTAACTTTTCTCCGAGGTGGAGTGAAAGTAAAAAATTGCTGTTTTATTGGGTGCACTGTCCTCGTTGCTTTTTCTCATTGTGATTCATGTTATCCCACAATGAATGAACGTAAATGCAACTATTTTTGGATTTTATTGATGACGAACTCTTTACTGTTTCTATTCAGACAACTCAAATGCCGCAAAATCTTGAAGTATTCTTAAAGTGCGGTTTGTAACCTCTGGCCTCTAAAGCAACACTTATTAATTAACCACAAATGTATAATTAAGTTCCGTGTTTCCTACTTCCTTAAATAATAATCTTTGCCAATTTAAAATTTAAATTTTCACATCGATATCGTATTATAAAACCAGGTAACCTTAATCGAGTTACCAGTTGACGGTCGTCAACGTTCGAGTTGTATTAGAGCGAAAATGAAAAACGTCGGACCAATATCGTTGAAAATTGAACGTCACGTAATTAGATTGCGTTCAGCTGATTTATATGTAATAATACCAATCTCTGCCGAAGATTATTGCTGTGTCTTTGAGCTGAAATGAGTTTGCGACGATACCATCAATTTTTATATCCATACCGTGACTGGACTTTTCCAAACGTAACGGGGAACTTTGATCGCAGATTTTCCTATATAAAGGCATTTTATGATGTTTTTAAAACTTTTATACTTTAATGTAGATTCGCTTTTTATTGTATTAAAAAAATGCTATTGATTATAGTATTTTTAAAAACGAGTTAATTTTGTTGTTGACGGTTACCACAATTTACAGTTACAGAGAAATCTCTTACGTTATTTTGTGTGATAGAAACACTAATTACAGTTATTAGCACAAAATTAGCTTCTCTTGATGCTTCTGCGCGATTGCTGCTGTCTGATTATTGGTTACTTTTTGTTTTAAATACACGCACACACTAGAGGTACATGTTTCTATAAAAAATTTCTTTCCCGTATTTTTGGTCTTTAGTAGTACATAGATGTAATTTTGTACATAAATATTTGCCAAATATGTAGCTATATTTTCGTAAACTTGATCTGTCTTTTTATGACAATATTATTGAAAACTGGTAAACATATACAAGATGTTTGCTAAACATGCCGCCAAAAATTCAGGGGGTTATTCCATGAGTTTTTTTGAAATTATTACTCCTTGTATGATTTTCGGAAAAAAGCTTTGTTTCGAAGATACAAAAATTGCTAAAAAACCACCACCAGCTAAGATACATGTGTTCCAACATCTTCTCATTGACTGCGGAACTTTTTCAAAAATGCCGGGGTTGTTTCTTATTGAATTACATTCCTCAATTATCCGATTTGGATCTTCTTCATTTTCCACTGGAATAGTGTACGCAAATGTTTTCAGATGGCTTCATAAATAAAAATCCAGGGGATTTAAATCTGGGGATCGGGCAGGTCATAACCAACGTTCAACTCAAGCAGTGCAGCGATCTTCATTATGTTGCACTACACCTTAAGTACTTATACTTTACTTTTATCTTTCCGTATCTTCGAAACAAGGCGTCTTTCTGAAAATCATTCAAGGACAAAACAATCCTAAAATAATTCATAGAATGTTTAGTAAACACCATGTATACTACTGAGTAAGGAAGTTCCATTAGATGTCCTACATATCAAAACAAGTTTTTTAAACGGTCATAATTCTGTTAACATTTTATTTTTTTGAAACAGATTATGTAACATTTGTTGTGAAGAGTTAAAAATAATCACATTGGGTATATATTAAAATTAAAAATTCTTCACATGGTAAGTTAAATTATAGAATAATGATGTCAACACAACCTGAAAATATTAGAAGTTAGGCAAGCGTGAAAAGTACATAAAAAATAGTAATCAAACAAACTAATAACAAATTAATCAGAGTGGTAATACTCTGAAGCTGAAATATTATTGTTATTAATAGTCTAATAAAAATGGAAAAAAATGAAAAAATGCAATTAAACTTTGTAATCGGTGTTACAAACGTCACCTATTGGCAATTTCATGAAACAAACAGATAATATCCGACATTACTGGATGATTGTTGTAAAATTTTTATGTATTTTAGAAATATCAGGTAGATGATAAAACGCTAACAAAGTAATTTGATGGCGTCATCTCAAAATT